TTATTATCTCTTCTACGTATCGCGTATACGACGAGAAAAGAGAGATAAGTAGCACTGATAGCCTATTTGGAAGAATTACAAGAGGTCCCTTATGAGACATTAACCAACCATTACGATTGCTATAACATTATTATGTTATGACAATCGTAATGGCTGATTGATGTAAACTTATTGATTTCCAATGAAATTTTTCATTATAAGCTATATAGAAAATGAGTCAGAATGTTCCGAATGCGATTTATAAACACTGAGGTAAATGTTTACGTTGCATACGACACGTAAAACCCAATAAGTCAGTTGATGATACTAACATACAAAATTGTTTATATCTTAGAAACGGTTGAATTTTTTATCTATGTTCACTAAGGCTTTTTACTTTAGTATGATATGTATTATTTATCATATAAATGCTAAATGGTTTTTTTGAATACCCTACATACATATGCAGGTATAAACTATTTATTAAATAAGTTACGTAAATAATAAGCGACTAATTTCCGTCATGTAATTGATTTTTATTAAATTTCCGCCTTTTCCCACTTTTAATAGTCCAGTATTTTCTAGGAATGCGTACTTAAAATTAAATGAGCTTTCGCTTAACGAGATTAGGCTGATTAAAACGACTGCATTATTCTCGATGTGATCTTAATCACATTACGATAGGTTAAATACGAAGCGCTAGTTAGTTGGAATCTATTTTTGCGACGTCTATTTAAGAATTGTGTAGTAAAAGCGATACGTACGCGGGCTTATCTTTTAACACGACTGACCAAGTAAATCAATAGTCCTAGCTTCTCCATAAAAAAAAAAACGCATCACTGTCGTATATCAGCGTGTTCCACTTGATTGGACCACGCTAGTTATCTAGTGAATTGGTCGATGCGACGTGTCCATTGAATTCGGCCAAATTATGGCCGCCTTTCGCTTATGTAATGTGTTTATTTTCTAAAATTGATACGAATTTTCACAGACGGAAAAATTTCTCGCGAGACATAAGACACACTGTCGATGATCGCCCATTAAATTACACAAATTTTCTGTTTATTTACGAGATAGCAGTTTAGAAATTTATGTCTCTAAAGCTGGCCCCCCTTTTTCAAAATTTGGAAAAAGTAAGTAGAGTTCTGATTACCCACCGAAGAGTTTTAAAATTCTCAACCGATTTTAGAAAGAGTTCCATTGATTCACCCAAAAAAATATTCTGCCGATTAGAGAGAGAGAGAGAGAGAGAGAGCGAGAAATTCCTCTTAGCATTTCCTCTAAGCAAAAAATCTTACATTAATCTTACATTAATCTTACATTATCAGATGCAAGTATTTATGACACGTATTTATCTATGAAAATGAGGATACATGAGCTATGATCAAAAATAAATTCCTCTATAAAAAATTCTATTATAATAACTCGAATAGCCTTTTGGAATAAGAGGATATACAAAATACTAGCGGCACGCTTATTTATTAAAAGAAGTTTGTCATTTATGTACTACGATAGTACGTGTTAGTATATGCAAGACAATCTTTTAGTATTGAGAGGATTGCAATCCTAAATCCAGTACTCTATAGTTATATGAAATTCCTTTACTTTGTAGAGTATCCTCTTGAGATCATATATAAATGGAAAATCCTCTGACATTAACACGGAACCGCTAAATAGTAGAATAATTTTTTTGAGTGTTAAAATGGTGAAACTACCATTTGAAGTATGAGGGCGGGGGGGGGGCAACAACATGATTCAGAAACTTTGAAGAGCTACTTTATCTTTCGCGTTTTAACACTTTGATTCATATAGGACAGTTGATAGAATTCTTTGGAGAGAAGGGAGGGGGAGGGCTTGCAGAACTCTTAAGAAAACGCTGGATTTCTGAAAAAGTTTTAAAAAAAATTTGTTTTTTTAAATATTTTTTTAGAAATCCGGTGTTCTGTTACGAGTTTTGACTTCCCAAAGAATTCTAACGATTATGCTTGATGATCAAATCGCTAAGATTAAAAGCAAAAAAGTTACAGCGCTTTGAAAATTCCAAATTGGAATTTTTGTAAGTCCACGCAAGTCAAAAAATTTTTTCGGAAATCCGGTATTCTGACATAAGTTTTGGTAGTCTCCCCCTCCCCCCTCTGAAGAGTTCTAACAATTATCCTTAACAGTTGATCAATGTACGAAGAATTTAGTGTTCTTTATGTGCTAACTTGTTACTCTAATCCCGATTTCATTGCTCTAACCGTGTATCAAGAAATCCATTCTAACATTTGTTTTTAAAAGTTAGCATAAGATCGATTTCTTGCTAAACAGTTAGAGCAATAAAATCAAATTTAGAGCACATAAAGAGCACTATCCTCTGTACATCTCATCTGATTGTGCTCTCATGTTGGAATACTAGTTTAGCATTAAGTCATTTTATTGCATATCTCGCACGCGCGCGCGTGTGTGGTTTTGATATATATCACTATTATTTAAGAAAAAAAGATCGTAAAATAAATCCACATTTATTTCTACGAAAAAACGCTTTTTGAAGATCTGTCTCATGAAATTGTTTCAGCTTTCAGCTTAAATTAGAAAGACTCGAAGGAACGATAAATGAGAGTTGGCTTAAAGGAAACCGTGTCTGTAATTCGGCTTGCTGCTACATTGCTACGAGTAATTACACTCACGTTCATTTTCCTAGAGAAGAAACGCCTGCATCAGATGATTAAAAGTCACGAGACTTCGTACTGCAAGTAATATGGGCTGCTCCGTGGATTTATGATTCCGTGAGTATCGTGGAAATTCTATTTTATTTTCTTTTATGCATGTCTCTTTTTCCGATAATTATGAAAGTAACAAAAAATACATAGAAACGCAGTCAGTTAACATGCTTAACAAAATTCGCGGATGCAATCTTAAACGCAATTTGTCACAATAACGACGATACATAGTATATCGCAAGCTTCTTTCCATTAAATTGCTCATCTTATCTCTTTTTATCAATAATCTCAATTTCAATAAAAATTCGATCACACAGTCTTCCAGTTTCATTACATAAACATTCTAACATTTGTGTGACTTTAAGAATGTATCGGTATGTCACATCTAAAAATAATACCAAAAAATAAAAATTTCATAGATTGTTCTATTATTATTACTATAGGGCAACCAAAATTATATTGTAAAAATCCCTTTTTAAGCGCCTAAAATATGCTGTGAAATTGAAAAAAATGCTCTAAAGAAAGGAATATATGCATTTAAAAATTACTTTTTATCGCACAAATTTTCAAATTATATTAATTAAGTTTTTTACTTATAATAACAAAGTAAAATAAATTTGATAAAATTTGTTTACATTTTTAAAAAATTTAATTAATCTTACGGGACATTAAAATTAAACAAATACATATTATTTATTATAGTGACTCTAGAAAGAGAGGGAGAGAGAGAGAGAGAGAGAGAGGGAGAGAGAGAGAGGGAGAGCGAGAGAGTCTTTGATGTTACGTATTGTATAACACAGAAATATAGAAGATTGAACGTAAAAGTGCAAAATCTTTTTCTCCTTGTGATTTCACTGCACAGAATAAAAATTTGCAGATTTTAAATAAATATTTACTCCAATAGTACTAACGAAATATTTACTAAATGTAAACACATATTTATT